CCATCAGAGGGCCAGTGAATTGTATTAACTCCACCAACATCAGGGTGCCGATAGCCCAGCTCCATCAATGCCAGAGACAGGTCTCCCCCTCAGCCCTGCCTGCCACCGTAGCATGCCTCCCCCAGAGCATCCCCTGATCCCACCTGCCATCTCCCACATACCACCTCTGCCCTCACCTGACCTGCACTCTGGGCAGCAGGCTGCTATCCCATGCCCCCTGCACTCCCTCCCCGCCTGGCTGTAAAGTAGTGGGGCCAACAACAAGCTGACTGCTGTGTCTGCAGAGGGAGGAGGGCAGGAAGCGCATGGCAGCCCCCACCCCCTTGAAAGTATCTCAGAGAAGATTCTTTTTGGGGGCTTGGGTGAGTGCCAGGAGGAATCCTCCTCCTCTCTGGTCCCAGTCCCAGGAGCAACCTGCCTCCTACAACTCAAAGTTCGAGCTCAAGTAGTGGGGCCAACAACAAGCTGACTGCTGTGTCTGCAGAGGGAGGAGGGCAGGAAGCGCATGGCAGCCCCCACCCCCTTGAAAGTATCTCAGAGAAGATTCTTTTTGGGGGCTTGGGTGAGTGCCAGGAGGAATCCTCCTCCTCTCTGGTCCCAGTCCCAGGAGCAACCTGCCTCCTACAACTCAAAGTTCGAGCTCCTCACCACGGGACCCTGCCCCCCCAGCCACATCCTGCACCCCACCCCTCGGCCCCCACCCCACCAGCCTGGAGCCCTTCATGCACCTCAAACCCCTCATCTCCAGCCCAGAGCTCCTGCCTCACCCCAAAGCCCTCCTTTCTAGTCCACAGTCCCCGCAAACCCCAAATCTCCAGCCCAGAGCCCATGACGCACCCTAAACCCCTCACCCCAGCCTCTCATCCCCAGGCCAGAGCCCCCCAGGCCAGAGCTTCAAACCATCCCCACGCCTGCAGGGAAGAGGGGCAGCACTGGGACCGGTCCTGGGCACCGCCTGAAATGATACAAACCCCTAACCCCCCCCCCCCAGCCTCTCATCCCCAGGCCAGAGCCCCCCAGGCCAGAGCTTCAAACCATCCCCACGCCTGCAGGGAAGAGGGGCAGCACTGGGACCGGTCCTGGGCACCGCCTGAAATGATACAAACGTGCTGCCCTTGACCCCAAGTGGCCCCCCAGCAGCCTCCTGAGGGCCCCCCCATACCAGGACCCCCGGCATCCCCCTCAGGCCCCCCCATACCGGGACCCCCCTCA